ACATTTTGTATCAAGACAATAGGAAATGTTGAAAATGTTCATAGGAGACCACCATTTTCATTTCAGCCTGCTTCCCAAATCAATTCCATATGACACTGAAGTTCCATATAATTTTTTGGTTTCAGTGAAGCCCTACTTTTGGCTGGAGAATCTCAAAGTGAAAATTCATGGCTGAAACTCTTAAAGATATGCCTGGTATGCATGTCTTATCTGTAAATCTCAAAGTGCTGAAAGAAGTAGCTCGTGCTGTTCCCCACTGACCCATAAGGCACAGTGAATGAATGCCATTTCTCTGACAGGGAAATGTAAGTAACAGAGGTGTGGCACCTGGGAGTTACCTATGTAAGGCAGATCTTATTCCTCTCCTAAGGCAGCTGAACTACATGTTTTACAAGGAGTTACTGTTATGATCCACTACCATAGGATAACTAGTTAGTTAGTCTATCTATGCCACAGAGAAGTTCTGGGGCCCCAAGCAAGTAGTTTAGGTAAAATTATCCTATATGTAGAACAGGGCTGTGCCGTAACACACAATTTCATAAAATCCCTGTATGCAACATGCTATGATTCTACGCTTCATGGGTGCTCACCAGAATGCTTGTGCTCCTGGCAGCTGCCTGAAGAAGGTACAGACCCCATCAATGGTTACAAATGTCCAGAAGCCATCCCAGCTGGTAACTGAGTAGTGGCTTTACAGGACACCCTTGATTTCAGCCATTTGTCTGGGGAGGGGGAGTTGGAGGTTGACTGAACTCATCAAACTTCTACAGAGCATCTGTAAGAAATAACTGGGGGTTAAACCTTGGTCCTTTAGCACAAACGGGCTGAAAAAGAAATCCAAGCTCAGGTACACGGACTTCTGTGCTTTCCTAATTTTGTGTTTTCTTAATTCGTGTTTTCCTAATACGGTCCTGAATTCCTCACATAAATAACAGTCCTGGGTGCAGGTTCATGTTTTTGACTCAGCTGCTAAAACTTGCTCTTGTGATAACCTTCTGGTTTTGCATGTGTAGTCTCACTAAGTAAAGGAAGAAACTGCCTTTTAAGCCTAAGTGTTTGCCTTGTCGAGGCAGGCCTGCCTTGCTGACTAGAGTCAGCGAGTGCTGCACATGGGGCAGGCTTTGGAGGTCTGACAGCAAACCAGCCCTGGACAGCTCTTGCTAAAAGTCTTAACCCCATGGAAATTACCCTCCACGCTCAGCAGCCAGTGAACAGAAGTCTCAAACCTTTGCGGAGCTTTCCTGTGCTGTGCTAGGCAGATGGAGGAAGGCTCTCCCAGGCACATGGCAGAAGGATCAAGCACCAACTCGGTCTGTACTACACCACAATGCACTACAAGCATCATGGATGATCCTTGGTATTCAGCCACCATGGGACAGTTTCTGAGAAAAGCCCCATGTGTGGGAAACTGCAAGATCTCAACTGGGTTCATTTATGTAGGAGGATGTTCTTACTTATCAATGAAGTCAGGTCCTGTACAAAATCCAGTATCCTTCTAATTAATGTAAATGAACTGCAGCTTGGATTACTCTGAAAAATAAAGGTATTTTCCTACATGTGCTTACTAGGGAGGAAGTATTAGTCACACTGAGAACACTATTGGCATGGTGCACAGGTGATGCAGGGTGCAGAAAGCGACCGCAAGGTACAGTTTAGCCAGGGTAGGATTTGACTGACTGAGCTGCACCTATCTATAGGCTGTGGTTATAACAGTAACTGCAGTGCCATATTCCAGTAGCAAGGCAAGGTGCAGCCCTGTCCAAAGGGAAATGGCAGATTAGCATAATCAGAGAAAAAAGGACCTATGGTTGTAAATGGATTAATAAATATTATAATAATAGTTGTAAGATTATGATAGCTCATGCAGAAAATGTTTCTCAGTTGCTCAGCAATTGACTTGTTAGATGTAAGGTAGAACACAGGAGAACACATCATAAAATAATCTTAGCAAAGCTTTTAAAAACCAAACTCAGGGGACTTCTTGTTTATAAGTGGTATGGAATGAAAATGTGCTTGCTGCAGAAGTCATGAATGTGCACCACAGCCAATCCAATCATTTATATAGCACAGTCGACCAGATCAGCAGACTAAAGGTGGACGAAAATGTGCTGCCGATCATTTGTTAGCTTCTTCTTCCACTAAGAAAACCATTTATGTCTTGGCTGAAAGGGCATATTTTTATTTTTAGCTCTAATGCCATAGAATTTTTTTGTTTTATTAATATCCTGATGCTTACTTGGTTACATCAAGAAGCAATGAAGATTCATTAGGAATACTTTCAGATGCAGAAAGTGCACTACAGTCTAAGAGTTTTTACATTGATAGTGTATCTTCATTTTCAACGGATAGTGTTGATACTAACCACGGGTACTGGAAAAAGAGAACAAGCATTTGGTTTCACATAGACACCCAAATTGTACCTTTCAAAAGACAAATCACATTGAGGGTAAGACATCACTTCAAATCACAGACTCCTTAACAAAAGTTTCCAATCATTTTCCCCTGTGTGCCACAGAGTATCAGAATTACACGAGATGCTTCATTTCATGGCCTTTGAATACATCTCCCTCTCTGCTGTTCCAGATACCACAAATTACCCTTGTACTGAGTGAGAAGATTGCTTGTAGTTCTAAGTTACTTAAGGATGACAAAGATGGGCAAGACACAGAAACACCCGTGGTGACTGAACAATACTCATCTTTCTTTCCCAAGCGTGATAATGTGTTCTGTAGTATCATCTCACAAATGCTAACATTGGTGGGAATGAGCATTCATCCACGTGTGAGTTCTAACAAAACTGATGACAAATCCTTCAGTCATAAATGCCTACCTGAAACATGGTTGAACATTCAAAAAGCAGGGAAGAGGATTGTTTTACTCCAAAAGCATTTGCTTTCAAATCCCTGGCAGTGCCTGACTTCATACCGGATTTCAGCTACAAAATTGTTTTAACTTGATTTGGTTATTTTCTCTGAGAAAATTAAAAATGGCTGAGCTATTTAATATCCAAATCCGTATCCTCTCGATCTTTTGAAGTTTATTGTGTCCATTTCTACCTCAGCTGTGGCAACAGAAAGAAGATGTGTGAACAGACTTGGACAGCTTTCAAGTACCAGCATATTGCACTAAGGGTGAGAAATTTATTTAAAGTAAATATTTTAAAATATCATGATCACTGCAATACATGCATGGCCCTGGTAGTTGCAATTTTAAACATTGTATTTAAATTAACAATAACTGAATTTGTGGATAGCACCAATGTGAACTACAAGGAAATATACATAACATTCTAAGGAAGTGGTGGTTCACTTTAGGGAAATTTACAAAAAATACTTGAGGTTGTCCCTTATTTCCAAGCCAAACCAGCAGCTGAGGTGTCTTCATAGTCAGCTTTCACTTTCAGCAACATTCAGATTCAATGGCCAAACCTGTAAAAATGTCTCCTGCTCTTACAGAGACTTGCTGAATGCCCCTGAAGGGCCTCTCTCAACCACAAGCATTTTTGGCTGTGTCTGTATTATGGGGGAGCTGCTGGCAGGATGCTCCGGTTAGCCAGAATTGTACCGGCTAGAGAATGAGTCGAAGCAGCCACACCACTGCTAACCTACCACTAGGCTAACAAGCTATCTCTCATTAGAGATAATGCATGGTGCCGTATTAACCCATTCAAATTGCTTTCATGACAGAGCTACTACCTCTTCTCAGCGCTGCAACTCATTAGTATGGATGTTCCAGTTTGGGTCTGTGCAAGTTTGATCCCTCTTCAGCCACTCCCCTCTACAGTGGGGAGAGTAAACTTCAATGTAAATGATTAATTTCTTTTATTTAGTCTATTATTGATTTATGAATATTAATTCAGCAAAATGCTGTGAAGTTTTCAGTTTACTACAGATGTCACATTTCACCATGAAAGCTGCAATGTAGTTGCAAATCTCTGTGAGTAAGTGAGTTTGATACTTAGATACAGCACCACCTGACAAAATCCACCATGGGAGCAAAAGATGATTTACATCCTCTGTGCTTAACCATGCTTCACAGAAACCAGCTTTGGTCTCAAAAGGTGCAGCTGTTTCCAGATGTAAATGTGTCTGGGCTCTACAAAAATACTAGGTTGTAGCACGTGGTAGTTCAATGGAAGAATGCAATGAACATGGTTATATTGCTTCTGAGCTGACAGACAGAAAACTCTGTCCTGTGCTCATCAGGGTGGACTCCTGGGGCATGGCAAGGTGATGGCTCATCTCTGCACTGCTTCCATAGCACACCGCAGGCAGGCTCTGACAGGCCTCAGGCAGCGCATGTACAGCCAGAGTCATGCACAGTGAGTGTTTGTAAGGCACAGTCAAATCAAAGCTCAGTTTTTGTTCTCCCATGAAGGCTGTATACAGATCATACTGTGTTTTTAATGATAAATCTTGTTATTTCCCCCTCCCTGCAGCTATGTCCAGAAAGGGAGAGGGAGGCCAGTCACATATTCTTTAAATTGCCTCAGCTTTATAGCAGTTAGGGGATTTTATTTAATTGCAAAAAAATAAGATATCATTTTATTTTTAAATGCGGTCCAAGAGAGGCAGCTTTCAGCCTCCAGGTGGCAAGTTGCAGAAGCAACCACCCTCTAATGCAAATAGTTCCCTGTTTTGTCTTCTGTTTTCACCTGCCATAATGCAAATCCTTTAGGAGACAGAAAGATGTAAACACAGCTGTGAGATGCTCCTGCTGGTAGGGAGTGGCAGGAAGGAAAGTGTTAAGTGCTGAGGGTAAATAGCACCAGATTTGTTACCAAGTCAGCAGAGCAGAGAGGATCCCACAGATAAACCCAGCCTGGAAGCTTCTCCCCAGCTTAACTGGTTATTGCTCAGTGGCAGCTCTTACTCATCTGAATTTAGGTGGAGCTCCCTTCCTCCCTCTGTCCCTCCCTCTTCCCCTCCCTCCCTGCCTGCTTGCCTGCCGTGTCTCTCCTGATTAAAAAGCTTTTCTCAAGCATCTGCACAGGCGCTCATAGGTACCAGTGCTCACCTTCCAGGAGCTTTGCAGAGGCTCCCATTGCTTTGTGCCACTGAGTCCGTGGCAGAAACTGCTGTCCTCGTCCCACCAGCGTCCCCTACCCTGAAAGATGGTGAAGTATGGCCTCGACTACACGCGGTGCAGATGGATCCTACCCCTGCTCCTGGGCATAGGTGTCATCTTCGGTATCATTGCGCTGGCGGGCAGGGGCTGGCTGGAGTCGCAGACCTTGCCCTACGTGCACCAAGCGTCGTTATGGGAGAGCTGCAGGAGACCTGAGCAGGGTGGGGAATGGTCCTGCGAGTCCCTCATGGGTTACGGTAAGCATCTGCAAGGGTGGCGCGGAGCAGTCTCTGGAAAAATGGTTTACATCTCAAAGCTCGCCTTCCCTCAGCTCTCCTAACTGTGTCACCCGATGTCCGGCATTTATATATGAAGTTATGGGCAATAGGGACTGCCACTAAAATGCCTCAAGGCTTTTGACTAACAGAATGAAGAAGAGAAAGGCCTGTGCAGAAATAAACCTGGTTGCTTTAGATGCATAGTACAAAAGCCCACATGTGGTAGTATACCAGTGCAGAAAATATTAGAGAACTTAAGGTTTTCTTCCTCTACTAGAAGCTAGTAACTTTTTCTCACTAATCACTGCTTTCCAAAACTTAACTGCTGCTGCTGATCAAATGTCCAACTGCAAGTTCTGTGGCTAAGCCTGGAATTAGTGTGACAAGACAGTCTTAAATGCCATCAAGAAATGGGGAATTAAAAACATGAGATGGTAGGAAGATATTCCCAGGGAGTGTCAGGCTGCAGAATGCTGCCCTGAAACTGCTCCAGTAGGTGGGTCGTGTGAAAGAGTGGCCTTGTGATTATGAAAGAAAGCTTTAAAAGATGAAAGGATTTCTTGTTTGCACTGAGTTTTGGTTAAGTATGCTATTAAACATGTTCACCCAGGTGCAATCTTCAGGTTGAAAAGATGCAAACCACTCAATCTGGGAGAATAGGCCAAAAGAAGGATCACTCTGGATGTGCCTGTTTCTCTTTTTTTATCTCTTCCTATAGATCAGTTATTTGTCGTAGTCTGAAACAAGCTAATGTGAATGTCAGGCAGTTAGCCTGAACCAGGAGGAACGTTCAACTGTTCTTACAATTTATGCAAATTCAAATTAAAAGGAAGAAAACTTCCTCTAAGGCTCAGAATCTCAACTGCTCTTGTTTAAAGTGAGTGTAAAAGTACTTGCAGAAACAATCTCAGGGATCATTTATTACAGTTTTTGAAAACTGCTCCTGAAAACTCATCATGTTCAATCAAACTCTACCTTCTGTGCACAAAATTCAGCTGTAACAAGTTAATTGTAGCAGGCCTCTGTGAGTGTAGGGCTCCAGGACAAGACCATCTCCATTAAGCATCATGCTCAGTCCTGCTCTCAGAGCTCTTGCATCAGCTTTATGAATGGGCATGGATCAAGCCAGCAAATTGGCCTTTAGTACATGGCATTGGAGAGCAGGACAGAGACGATGATGCTTAGCAAAGGCCTGCTCAATCCGGAGTTTCCATGAAAAGTGAGCCCTCCTCCTGATCCCCAGGTTAGGCCCTGTGTCATGAATGCCAGCTCTAGTTGGACAGAAAATACTAAGTTGTTTTACCTTACTTCTCTTGATAATACAAGAAAAGTTTCAACTTGCTTCCAGGTCTTACACAATCATTTGGCATTTCACTTCCTTCCTCATCCTGCCTCGTTCTGACATGCTTAAATTCAGCAGTTGTAAGCAGTTTCTCACTGGACAGCATCTACAGACAAACCAGGGAGGTCATCCTCTATATGAACCATTGCTCAATGTCTGTGGTTACCATGAATCACATCCACAATAAGTCCAGCACTTCTAACACAGAAATGTTGGACTTAGTACAGACACGCAGAATATGCATTGTGCTCTCAGTGAGCATGCAGCTATCATTTGACCTCTTCAAGCTCATTACCTTACTTCAAGCAAACCCTTAAAATCCTCAAAATCCTCCTGGATAAAATTTCCAAGTGGAAAAGAAAGATATGTCTGGGACAATGAAGTCATTTAGCCAATGGGAGAATATGTAAAGCCTATATGTAAAAAATATGTACATAGGCTGAGTGACAGTTGATTAGGCTGCCAGGCTCCTGCCTATGCAAGATTATGTCATTACAATGTAGACCTTGGCCATTGCAGGGGTGGATTACTCTGACCCATAAGAGGGCTGTAGACCTGACTGTTAAGAATGCAAACTCATGTCACTGTCCTGACCCTTTCCAGCCCCTTCTTTCAGACACCTTCTCTCCACAGGTGGGATATGTTCAGGTCCAATCTGTCCTACATTTTTCATACCATGCTTTCCTATCTCAGTTGATGTGGGGTTGGGATTTTCCTTCTGGGGCTCCTGCCTTTCCTCATGCAGGGTGCGGGTGCCTGATGCTTGGTCTTGGATTTCACCCAAAAGAGCAGGCCATGAGATGGCATCTCACTTGAGAGCATCCAGGTCTTGTGGTGAGCCTGATTCTACCTGCCCCAGTGCTGAAACATAGGGTTTTAATAATTCTGGGATTACATTTATCCACAGTACTCCAGAGAGGTCATAGGAAACAAGTATTCAGTGTCATGTTCTGTGGGACGTTTGACTTTGTCTTGTGCCAAGCTAAACATACTGCTGCATAAACAGAGTGTAATTACACACCTTCCTGAGCACCGTCACAAAAGCCATGATGTAAACAGAAAGGACAGAAGTGTTTTACATGTTTCCCGAGATGAGCACTCTCTTTCCCCTTCTCTATTGCACAGTTCCCATCTTGTTTTCTCTGAGCTCTACTCTCAGCTTCCCTGCCTAATCTGCCAGAGGGTGGGCAGGTTCTGAAATTCAGTCTTCCTGCAGGGACGGTTTCACTGATGTATGTGATAACCATGTGTACGCCAGCAGCTTCCAGCAAATATTCTTATCATGGCTTGGACAGTGTAGCTATTTTAATCCACTATTGACTTCTTCACCTATCAAAATTAGGTGTAATTGTAATGTTCTTGCATATTGTTCAATATAATGTGCAAATTCAAATCAGATTCTCCTCATGCAGTGTTTGTAATTCCCCTTGAATCTCTGCTGTTTGGCTTAACATAGGTGCATGCACAGACAGGAGACAAAAACCCAACATCATTCAGGTCGGTTAAATTGGAAGAGAAGAAGGCTGAATGTTTCATTGGAGTGGATCTTCTCCAAGGTTTCAGATCTTCTGCTTTAACCATATGATACTCATCTAGACTTTAGCACAAGTCTTTTGCTTTTCAAGCATATTTAACTCAAATAAATAGAACTTTCTAGGGAAAAATATCTAGTGCATTATGGCACTTATTCGAAATGCATGGGGTTTAATTTGAGGGACTGAGAGATTCGAACAGTAGCTCTGCAACGTTCTGGCACTTGGAATAAAATAAAGGTCTCAAGCTTAAAACATGCTTGAACCTTTACAAATACAAATGCTTTTTTGATAGATAATGAGCAGAATATGGAATCTGTGCCTGGAACATGGCTCAGCTTGCAAAAAACCCACAGAAGTTAAATCCTTTCACGAAGCTGGCACAGTATTCCCAGTACTTCTTTGTTTTTCTTGATATTTGGCTATATAACTTCTCTTGAACAACGTGTGTCTTGCAGACCTGAGACACTTTTTCAGTGTGTAATTTATTCCACTGCAGGTTTTGAAGATGTTTAAACATGTATGGGGTTGGTTGGAGGAAAATAACTGATTTTATTTTATTAGTCTCAATATGATTCACAGTTGGATGAAAAACTTGTGGGTATACTTGTCCCATCTTATATTAAACCTGGCCCTACAGCTCTTCCATGTGCAGTTGCTGCCATCAAAAGAACTGCAAGCTTAAATCTTTAAATTTACGTTGAAGTGTCCAGCATATTTGTGTGGTGCAGAGATCTTGGTGTTAAAATCAGGAAAAGGCATTTCCACATGACAAGTGGAATTCAGATCTTCAGTTATTTTCACATCCTAGTACGTAATTTCAACCTTTTCCTAGGATGTATGGAGGGTTTAGCAGCTGTGGAGATTAGTGGATGGATGAATGATTTTGCCATCTAGAAAGGACACCTTCCTGCATTTGTCTTCCAGGCAAATAATGGGTAACTATGTTCTAGCTTATCCCGGTTTTATTTTGGTCTATGAATATTAATGGAATACTACAAGATAGAATGGCTAGTATAGTATGCTTATAATGCAAAAAATTACATAAAATATGGCAAATATTTGAGCATACTCAAATATGAGTATGTCTACAGGGTAAGTGAAAGAAGGCTTCAAAAGTTAATAACTTATTGGGGAAAGAAATACTCTGCTTTAGTCTCCTAAAAGAACTCCACTGATGACTAGATTTTCTTCCCTGTTTGCCTGTATCAGGCTTTTGGGTCCAGGGAATCTTTTGCTATGATAAAGCACCATTTATTATTATGTAGGAATAACAAAATAGAAATCACTTTCTAAAAATCCTCATCTAATGCTACAACAGGGAGGTACGCAGTGTGGTCAGGATCAGTTTCGAAGCAGCAGAGGACTTCTCTTGGTACTTACCCCTGCCACTGGCCTTACACTGCTGGTCCCACAGCTCTGCCTCTGGAAAACTAACTTCTCCAGCAGACCATTGACTCATCACACCCAGGGCACAGGACAGACCAGACACCAAGTTTTTCCACTGCCACACTGCCTATGTAAAACTTTCCCTACGTTGCCACGACATCTGACAGCCAGCACTTAATCTCAGGTGTGCGGAAACCTTCACTTGGCTCAAGCCAAAGCAAGTGCTGTGAGCAGAGTGACATGGGGATGTTTCCAGAGGGACAGGCTGGAAGACAGCCCCTCTCAGCAGGGCCTTGGAGGAGAAGCAGGGTCTCCTGGTGGCTCTTCAGCATCTGACGGTGTCTGCGTATAGGAATAGAAATGAAGCAAACAAGTAACTGTGCTTTTAAAGCAGGAACCCACTCAAGTCATGGGGCCTTTACTGCCAAGGTTTTGCACCTAAAAGCTTTCAGGATTTGCTAAAATTCAAGTAGATTTGGGAAAGTGTCCTTGCAGCTGGGAGACAATGGCTGGGGATGGTTCTGACGAGGCCAAGGAATCATGTGAGAGCGCCCAGGACAGAGCCCAGTTCTATGCACTGCTTGTATTACAGGGCAATCCTTGACTCCTTTGACACAGGGTGAACCGAAAACAAAAGCTTATTGGTGTTCCTGCTGCATCATAGCATGAAACAGTTATATTTTTATATGGTGGTTGCCTGTGGTTTTAATGACAGT